GTGCTCGTGTGGCCAAATGTGCAGACTGGAAGAAGTGTCCCGCCTCTTCCCGTCTGCAGTGTCTGACACATTCAGCCGCACGAGCATAGGACACAGGTCAGTGAGCCAATCCCGATCTACCAGTGTTCGCTTTGCGATCAACCTAATGGGCACCCCTACCTTACAGTATTCTTAACTTTTTTGTATGCTTCATCATTTAAAAATCCTTCTCTTTAAAACCTTTTAGTTTGATGGCTCTTAAAACGATAAATGCTACCTCTGACATCATCACTGCGCCTGCTGTTTATATGTACGTATCTATAGCTGGATGAGGGTATGTGCAGCTGTAAAAATTAATTTTCCCTGATGTATGTGACTTCAAGTCCCATGATTCCAGCAGTCTCCTTCCTCTCCCCCCTGAACCAGGCCAAAAGGTAGGTTAAACCGGAATAGGGCAGATGGAGTGAACAAAGTAGCATTACAATAATACCACCCAAATTCTCTTCACACTGAAGTTCTGATGACAAACATCTAAAGCAGAAGAACTACATGGGGGTGGTGAGGGGTCTGGTCTCCAGGGCAGTAAATTAGCTTTGTGTAGAGAGGAAACTTTGAGACTACGCGATCACAATAAGGAATAGGTCAGGGAAGATGTGTTTCCACGTAAACACGAGGTGTAAGTCAATTAATTCACAATGCAATATTAAAATTGTTTTTTTGTCCCAGATTAAAGTAAATATAGTATTATATAAAAATATTGGGGAGGGGTTCTGAAAAGTGCGCTTATCATGGTACAAAAAGATATAGCAATGTACAATTTTATGTGTGTAGCTTGTTAAGTAAGATTATTGTTTAATATGATGTAGATCACAGGTCCTGTGTACCCCAGGTGTGACTGGCTCAGATGATACATATAATAGCTACAATAAAATCATCATATCAGTGATATAAGATTAGTCATAGAAAGAGACTTTTGCCAATAAATGTCCACACACCACCACACAAGAGTACTTGAGACATGGTAAACCACACCAGGGTATGCCTTCTAAAAAGCTGAGATACACCGACAGAGATTTCAAGTGCATTTTAACCCATGAAATAAATTTAATATGTTGCAGCTTACTGGTCCTCAAAGCAGACATTCAGTGTCCTTGTTACTTTCTGTGCACTTTTCTGAGCATGTTATCAGCGTCACTTGCTATCTTCTGTGTACTACAGAATATCTCTCCCAATGTTTATGGAGATGAGGACAGGGTGAGGTAGTACAAATCAGAAAAGAGGCTTAAGAGGACATGGCTGCTCCTCCATAGATACATTATAGGACAGGAAGATGGGATGACCAGATCAAAAAAATAACCATAAACAAACAAAAAAAATAAAAAATAATGTAGCCCCCAGAATCTAAGGACTGGTAAACTGCAAAATATACATTCACTGAGATCAATCACATTTCTAAGCCATTCATGCAGAAATCCAAGTAATTGCTAAGCTTTGTTATCTAAATTGTATAGAAAATAGGTATCTGAAGTGTAAATACATCCCAAATCTTTTACATTTTGGACAGGGTGGGATCGGTTGCAGTATTTTTAAGGTTGTCTGAGGCCCTGTTAGGGAGATTTATCCTCACTTAAATGAGAGGGAAATCCCATTGATGGAGCCGCACACACTGCAATAAAACCTGATGGCCGTTCTATCACTTCTCTACTCTATCGGAAAGTTAATAAAGATTTATTTGGTGTTGTACTTGTAATATAATTTTTTCCAATGTATAATTATCTTGCTATCTTGAGTGAAAATATTGCCACTGCTGTCTTTTGAAATAAAAAATCAAATCTGAAGAAAATACCAATAAAAAAAGTTCACATTAGTCTGCTCTTAACCCGTTTTACATGTAATTGCTTAACATGGAGAATATCTGGACAGAGTCCATTCACAGCTACAAGTGCTTCTAAACAGTGCAGAGATCACACAGGAAGCATGAAGAAAGTGCTACATGATGAGGTCATTCCCTAAAAACAGACAGAAATTGAATGACAAACCTCTTGAGAGGCTAGTTTTGTACCCAGCAAATTTGTTTCTAACTGTTAAAAATACTAGTACCAACTCAGACCTACAAAGGCAAGTGACATAATGAAACGCCAAATATCCTTTGCCCACACTGTGAACATTGAAGTATTTATTAAAGCAATAATAAGCTTTAAAAGAAGCCATATCTGACCACTGTAGCTGCATGTACTGTGAATAACTCATCTGCATCTGTATCTTTACATTATAAGGCTGATTGGCTTCCATAGAAAAGAAAGGGTAGAGAAGCTGTGATTGCAGTGCCTCTTTTGTGAATTAATTTCTCTGCAATGCCTATAGCTACAGAGGTTAATGAATGTTTGGCTTCATTGCTGGTTTAGAATATCTAAATACTTTAATGTTTAGAGTCTGGGCAAAGTTTACTTTACAGACACTCTGATAAAACTCCTATTTATTCTCGCTATGTCACTTTTTGTCACAATTCATTCTGACAGTACTATTTCATGGCATGGACTAAACGTCATCAACGGCAAACAGGTTGATGTGGGGTTCATCTTATACAAGGCTGGTATTTATTACAATTAAATATATCATACAAAATAATGTATTTATCTTCTGTAAAAAATAGAGAAATGCGTTATACAAGTATTCTATTACCTGTATGAAAGTACTTAAGCTATGAATATTTTACCATATGGTCCAGCTATCCTAATACAAAGGTCAAGGTCAATAATTTTTCAGGTCCTCAGGTCTATAACATATGATTCCCTATGTACATTTTAAGGGTTCTTAAAAAGAAACACTGATACTTGGGGCACTGACATCAAAACACACTATTGCCAGGATTCCAGGAATGGATACATTGAAAATAGAGGTTGAGTTTTGGCATGGTGCAAGGCCACCTCAAAGTGTCACAAACTTCCTTTGGCACCATATTGTATAATCTCAAAATGGATTTGCTTACACATTTATAAATTAGACATTCCACAGGTTTGGGACTTTGCATCCTGATGCCCAGCTAGCTTTTCCAACTAAATCCCAAAAGTATTGTTCTGTTTTGTTCTGCATATAGCACTTCTTAAGGACAGGGATGTTTTAAACAGGGTGAATGCAAACTTCTTATGAATATGAACCTAATGCAACTGCATCTTCAATGTCTTACATTTCCTAAATTAGTAGGTATCCCAATAAGTCAAGTTATTACAAAGAAATAGAAATCACTCAAAATTTGCTGAATAAAAGGAAGATTACATTGATATTAAAAGAGAGAATAGATCTAAACTGAATCTGTACAGATATCAGGCAAGGAAATGTTAGAATCTCTATGTAACTGTTTATCAATTCTTTATGGTTTCCTGGCTCTGGAAGAGCAGATATCATGCAAATCAACTCCCAAACAAATTGGATGTATGTACCCCACAATATCTTTGCCAGGATAACTGAAAGTAATAAAGCCAGGGTTTTGTGGGAACAGCAGTACTTTAGGATACATATGTGACTTGAAAGCTTTACAGCTCTTAGCTCAGTTTTCATCTTAACACTACATGTTCTCTATTTCAGAGAACAACAAAAGAGTAGAGTTTCTATCTTTTATGGTATATCAAGCACATAGCGCAGCAGAGGACTACAGAGCAAACTTAAAATGTAAACATATGTTGACTGAAGAAATTATTTTCTTTTTGATTCAAAGGTCTAAGAGTATTCCAAATTGACAATGGTGTCATTGCTATGTTGCCAATTTAGGTACTCTCTTTAGCATTAAGTGATTTTTCTTTGGGCAAAGTTTAACCCATTTTCCTTGCCTTTGCAGCCTAAGTGTATAGAAAGAGCAGCTTACTTGGTGCAAACCCATCTGCCTGATAAAAGAAGTACTATCTCAGAGTGGGGAATCTCAGAGTATGCAGAAAGCAAACAAGGCACATAACTTTAACCCCTTCCTCACACATTAGCGTATGTTCAAATATTTAATTTCACTCTATTTTCACCAGAAGAGGTTTCTCAGTGTCAGTATTTTTCTGCAATAAAGTAAATTCATTTTTTGATTAAGGCTTACATAACATTTGTTTGTAAAATATAAAACCCGAGCAGTTGTTTATCAATACAAAGCTATACTTGACCGATTAAGACAAACATCTAAGTTGCTTTGACTACATACCTAAAGAGTTTCTCTACTTAACTGTTAATTTATCTTTATGTCAGCTATGTAGTTTATTGAAACAGATGCCATTTTTTCTTTTATAACTGTTTCAGTTGTGAAATTGACAGAATTCAAAATCAATTTGTCACTGTCTCTTAATTTCCACAGTCATGAAAACAGCAATAAAAGTAAAGCTACTGTCAGCTACAATGAGTTGATTTCAATGGATGGTACCCGTTTCAAGAGATAGATGTCACGTCTATATTTTAGTACAGAAACTACTAACTGCAGTCAATAAAAGCATAGCTTGAGGTACCAACAAGTCAGTTAATATTTTCTTTAGAGACAAGTAACAAGAAAATAATATTTTTCTTCTTGTAGATTTCATCACAGATACAGCAGGCTACAATAATTGTTTTTAACTGGAAATAGAGTCAATACATAGCTGCAGTGTAGCCAAGCTGATATGTCTGCAAACTAGGGTACTCTAAAAATCATGGAATTATTATGACTCTTCTCTGGTTGCATAGTTGAGTAAAAATAGTTCCCTGTGCTAAGAAATCTGCAACCAGTTAATAACATGAACGCTCTGAAGTCTACTAACTTGTGTGCATTAAGTATTAGAAATAAATACATTTAGGAAACTGTTGTCTGTTTCAAAGACGGTAATAAGGTGCTGGTTGGCATAATAAGAGCAGGTCCCCTCACTTTACTTTCCCTTGTTTCCTGTGTTTAGTGTTGACACTGACAGTACAGTATATTTTGCACAAGACTCAATGCAAACTATTAAGATTTTAATACTCATTATTTTAAATTACTGCAGGAGTCTCTGGCAGTGGAGGATGATAGTCATTAGAAGATGGTTGTAGATATTTTAGAATATACTCTGCCGCCTGTTTTTTCCACGTCCTGTTAAAACAAAGTGAGCTTTAGATAATAAAGCCAAAATGTACATGCAACACCTTTGTAAGGTACATACTTTATTCATATGTTTCCCAAACATGTCCTCAAGTATTACCGATTAAGCCATGCCTGCATGGGTATATAGAAAATATGAACTGTTGGCAAGATTGAGGACAGGTGTGGGAAACACTGGCATATATAATTACTATGTAAGACAATCATGTGCCGAGCTAAATAAGTACAATTCAGTGAAATATGTGATGAACAATGAAATATATGCGTATATGCTTTAAAAATATATACAGAAAAGCATATCACAACATGAAAATATGTGAACAGAGTAAGAAACACAAACTCCAATGTGCAGCAATAAAAATCGTGCAAATAAATGCAGGGGATAATCCACCACTGGATAGATCCAAACTTCCAAGTGAGCAGTTGCCACAGAATCCTGACAGACCTTCACGTCCACCCAGTGAATGCAAAATTGGAACAGTGCTCACCGGGGGAGAATTGTACTTATTTAGCTCGTCACATGATTGTCTTACATCCTTTTAGATATTTTATCTTGAGTAGCCTAGTAGCTCCCTACTTTGTAAACCTATACATCCCTACAGGTAATGATAGAATAAATTATTATTGAATTTTCCCCAGAATGGCATTAAAGGAATGGAACATATGTAGTTTCTATAATAAACATGTAAAGGTGATACACTTGATGTAAATAATATGATCAATGTGTAGTAATGTTTTTAAAATGTTGTTATATAGTTATGCAAGCACATATATTGACTCATTACATATGCGGGACCTGCTCCAGGCCAACAATACTACACAATTGTTGTGCTTTACAGCTACTTCTCACAATTCAATGGGTTAACTGACTCAATTAAAAAGTGCACTCAGTGTTGCAGATATCACACCAGTTGTTAAAAAAGGAGAAAGAGTAAATGCACTGAGCCGCTAAAGAGTACTCTTGAATGTCTAATCTATAAATTACTAGATTTAAAATAACACATTGAGTAAAATTCTAAAAACTGTAATTTTTAAATATGAATGTAAAATTCTAAAAAATATATATTTTTTGAAACATTGGAATAATAGCGCTAAATATGCACTCACTAAAACATATTGGGGGGGATTTATCGAAACTGGAGCAGACAGAATCTGGAACAGTTGCTCATGGCAACCAATCAGCTTCTATCTTCAGTTTGTTCAGTTAGGCTTTGAAAATAAAAGATAGAAGCTGATTGGTTGCCATTAGATAGTGCTCCAGATTCTGTCTGCTCCAGTTTTGATAAATTCCCCAATTATACTTTTGCTTTTCCTGTGCAGCTGATTGAAAAAAGAATAATGAATATAACCTATTATATAATTAAACTAGTGATTTGTGTTCTAACTAAAGTGCTTTTTTAAGTAATAATTGTACCAATTAAATATGTATTCTTTTTTGTATAGGGTATTTAGATATCTGAAGTTTAAAGGGTCCATTTACACCAGAGCTAGAAAAAGCAGAACGTTTTTATATTACTAGCCATCGAGCTAACGAAAAACACAAGAACATATTACAAGATATAAGATTCGGTGTAATAACCTATCATATTACCAATCATATTTTTTTAAATATATTTGCAGCTGTCCTTGTTGGAAATTACAATTCCTATGATAAATAATAACGGCTACTGATATTAAGCCTTCAGTTCCTAGGGCCAGCAAAATAAATGTCTAGAAATTAGAAAATACCTGTCTGGTGGAAGATGGAGCCACGATAGCCTGGGTCTTTCTGAAGCTGGATTTCTTTAAGAGTGAAGATTGAAGCATCTAAACAAAGACAGTATAATATAACAATATGTGGTCTGGTCAGAAACAAAACTATAGAAAGTAAAATGAACTTTCAGTCAAAAGTTACAGATGATATAAACGCTTACTCTCTGGCAGAGTGTGTATTCTTTCACCAAGGCTCTTGAAATAGGCATGACTTAGACCTCCAACTGCAGATATCCTCATCTTGTCTTCAAACTAGAAGAGGAGAAAAAAAAATAAGTGTTGGACACACAGAATGCTTAGCAATGAGATGGGTGGATGTAAGAGATTATTTATATTCACAGTTTTTGTAAAAGAAAAAAAAAATTGTTCTCACGCAAAGAGTACAGAGCAGAAATAAAAAGAACAGCATTGGTCACCAGCAAACCATTCTGTACACTATATCATTACAGATGCATTACTATACCCTGCAAGAGTCGAGAAAGAAAAAGCAACATTGGCAATAGGGCAAGCTAGTCCCAAAAAAGACTCAGAACGTCTTAATAATTTTAGAGTAGTCAAATAGATGTTTTTCACAAGGCATTACATTTACCGTATGTTCCCTGTAGTTTCCTGGTATGGTACTAGGCAGTGTTTTGAAAGCAACATGATCTCTCTAAGTTGATCTCTCGAGAGTTCCTGAGTGAGAAATTAGACCTGGTGCCAAAGACTGTTCTCGCATTGTATGGTCTATGGCTCTCAGCATCCAACATTTTCAACAGCAATATCCTTGTACGATTTAGTCTGTTATGGTGGGTGGTTGGAGAAGCAACTGTTTGGCCAGGATTGATTTTTAATATGTGTTCCTATTTACCTAAAGCTTGGGGTTTTGGTGTACTGATGGAATCTAAGTTATGAAACAGACCAATGCAGAGGTCTCTTTGTGCCTGATTTGGGGGCATGACCAGAGAAAGTGGGTTAAAATAGGATGTTTTATTTTGCATTGTGGGCATTAAGTAGCCAGTTCTGTGGCATTTTTTTTTATTGGAATGTTGAATGTGAAATATGCCCTGTGTATTATTTTGAGCTGAATTTGAGCTGAAGTAATAGCTTCCTGACCTTTTACCATGTCATAATATCTCTTAAGAACATGTTTTGTTTTATGTATCTAGGTAGGAGAGTTAGTTTAGTGTGTAAAATCCACTAAAGTAACCAAGAATGTACTAGCTGTGCATCTTTAAAGTGAAGTACCACACAAGCAATCTCTGGCATATCTGAGAAAATCTAACATTCTCTGGCTAGATTGTATAACCTAACGTTGGGTAGAGGAGAAGAAGTATAATGTGCGAGGGTAGAGGAGGTGTGCAAAACTAATCATTTGTGTGGCATCTGCCCATCATAGATATGGGAAAATCTTTCCACAGGAGTAGGTACTGCATGATTTTCACTATTACAGGCTTAAATTAAATTTAAGGTGTGGAGATTGAGGCCACTTTTTGGAATGTTCACCCCTAGTATGGTTATATGGTTATGTTGGATTTTAAAGCTACATTGTTATAGCCAGTCCCTGTTAGCCCATGCAAATTGCCTTGTTAAGAGCATAAGTTCAGTCTTGTCAAAGTTAATTTTTAGCCAAGAAAAGGTCCCTAAGTCTAAAATATGTTGGGTAAATTGTGGAAGATGGGCTTTGGGATTAGATAAGAACAATATAATATTGTCTGCAAAAAGTGAGGATTTGATTTCATGCTTTCCCAGCTTGACCACCTCAAAGAGGGTGGGGGGAAAGATGGGGCAAGCCAAGGGGGACAGGGGGCATCCCTGCCTGGTATCCTTTCACAGAGGGAAAGGTTCAGACAGGGCTCCAGCTGCATATATATATTAGCTTTGGGTGATGAATAAAATAAATATGTGACTTCCCATATTAATACAGTTCTCAGTATTATATAAAATACATACCAGCAAAAGGCTGCTCAGAAGATCGATCCCCTCTGAATCAAGTCTGCAACAGACAAATGGTTCTACTGTTAATGTCATAAGAAAAAGGGTACAATGGCTCCTGCTGTCAAAATTCACAGCAATAAGAAATAAAATAAAATGCAAGCAAATCGAAATATTGCATGATGCAAACAAGCCAACTCCTCCTAAGGGTTGCCCTTGGGAAAGGCACAGATATCACTTACTGCAAGAGTCCAGGGCTTACTACGCATGAGCCAATGGCGCGTTGCCGCAAGAGGAAATCCACGCCAACTGCGCATGCGCCAAAGACGCGTCAGTACGCCAACCCGCGCAGAAGACCTGATGGAAAAAGGCAGGAAAATGCCTCCTGCGCACAGGAAGTGACCTCAAACTTCAATCATCACTTCCCTATATAAGGCCAGCCCAGACACTGCCAAATTGCTGGATTATCTTCAGTCCCCCCTTGTTCCTGTGCTAGTGTGTGATCTGTCTGAATTTGTTGTGACCTGGAAACCTATTTGACTACTCTTGATTGCTGCCTGCCATTGACCTCGGATTTGTACCTTGACCATTCTACTTCTTTACCCCTTTTGTACTCAGCTGCCAGATTTGAACCGACCCCGGCTTGGATCTTGACCATTCTTCTGATTAACCCTTGTGTACTTCGTTGCCAGAGTGGACTTGACCTCGGCTCGGATCTCGGACTAAGGCTTGCATGGTGCTCCGCTCCATCTCCAGAGACTTCAAGGACCCGAGGTGCAAGGATGTGGTAAAAACGATTGACGTGATTGTGATGTCATTGGTTGTCATCAAAACGTGCATATTTGCCTGCAGGTTGACGTGCGCTAAAATGCATAAAAACGCGCAAGGCTCAAAGCTCAAATTACAGCACAAGCTTCTTTGCCGCATATGTCGCGTGTGGGGCAGCCCATTAAAAGTATGGGCTGATGCACTGCAAAATGCACAAAAACCCACAGGTGTGAACGGGGGCTCTGGTTTAGAGGGCTTCAAGCACCTTGGTAGCTCATACATTCTTTGTTAAAGGATAAGTTCACCATTTCACAGAACTCACAGCACCACCACCACCCCCACTTCCCCTGGTGCCCGCTGTACTTCCCTGTAAGATGTCCGTTATAGCCGGTGTAGCACTCCGCACTCTGCAATACACAGCCCCGCAGTCAGTAATGATCATAATGCTTGCAAATAGCAAGTGCTCACTGGTCAACACAGTCATGCTCATGACCAATGAAATGACTCTAACCAATGAAAAGCACTTCATACTTCAGGACCTGGTCCTCAGCTCACAAGTGTTTCTTTTCTCTGTGGTCTTGAATACATGGACATCCTCTACAGGGACTGTACAGGCCATATTTAAGTAAAAAAAGACAGGGTCCATGATAGGGATGGCCCACTTTTTAAGGCAGTCATCCTTAATAGTGTACTGCTGGATCAAACACATAGTAGGAAAAGCTGTTTCTCAGGGTAATCCCAGTCACCATTCAACACAGGCTGTAAGTGCAAGTGAACAGGAAAGGTTTTAGTAGGTTTAGTCATTTTCAGGGTCCCCAAAATGGTGACCTTTGGAAAGGTCAACACAGGTACGTCTAACTGCAAGCAAGTGCAGACAATGTCAACAATGTCCTTTAGCTTAGGGGAGAGGTCAGAAGAGAGGTGCTCTTTATGAAAAAAAACCTCACCAGAGCTGTAATCAGGCTGTGTAATCCTTGTACCCTCTGCCTCAGTGACTCTGGGTCTATGAACCATAATGAACAATCCCCCACAATACACTCACAGCATTGGTGAGAGGGTGTCCTGCATCCAGGCAGCAGCAATGTGGCCCAGGACAAGGATCACTGTAAAGCACTGTGTAACATAGTATTTGAGGTTGAATAAAGGCATAAGTCCATCAAGTACAACCTATTGTGTGTGTGTGTGTGTGTGTATAGGTCCATGAGTGTTCTCATTCTTAAGAGTACCTGTACCCTTGTACATTTCGGAAAGATAAAAAGGAAAATGAGGCGCAAAGATCTAGCAAAATAAAACACTTTATTAAAAAGCAATGAATAAAATAATAATTGCACTCACATGAATGTAGCAGGTAAAGTGCTTGTATATGACCACACACTGGGCATGATTACACTGGGGCTAGTGGTGCTGCAGGACTCTACCACCTCCAGATGGACTGACAGACCAAGAAAATGCAGATAAAACTCCCATGTCTAACTCAAAGTGCTGCATAAAGTGCCAAAGAGGGCGCTAAGGAGGGTGACCGAGCACATTACAGGCCAGCCCCATGTCTGGCAGGGTTTAGGTACGGTCCGCCAAGGCTGTGCCGAGCAGAAAACCTATCTTGATAGCTGCTTGAGGTGCTGCAGTGGCTTAGGGCAGCATTAAAGAAACATGTTTGAAAATTCTTGCAGGAAAAAAAAAAAAAAATCAGAAAAAAAGAGAGAAGATTCAACAATTCAAATTGTATATACTGCATACTCACTGGTGCCGATTTCCCACGGCACTAAAACTTTTTCACTTAGCAAAGTGAAAGTTTACTTAGCTTAGTGAATGTGGTGAAGCTATGTTCACTTTCAAAACCCAATCATGTGCAACAGAAAATAAAAACAATGTATGAAGTGTACACATTCTCCATTCCTTTAGTAAATTAAACACATTGGGGGGAATTTATCAAAACTGGAGCAGACAAAATCTGGGGGAGCTGTGCATGGCAACCAATCAGCTTCTCTCTTCAGTTTGTTGAGTTAAGATTTGAAAATGAGAGACGCTGATTGGTTGCCATGCACAGCTGCTCCAGATTGCGTCTGCTTCCGTTTTGATAAATTCCCTTCATTGTTTGCAGGAAAACACATAACTAAAGAAAGCCATTTAATATATAAATATGAAAAGATATCCATCATCTTAACTACATAGGAATGTGTTTAAAACAAACACATGACAGCATGAGTGCATTGGGGTTTAATCAAGCATGGTATGGTAATAGACTCATCATGGTCAATAATGGGTCAGTAAGTTGAATTTTCTAGCAGCCATAATTGACTTTTCAAAACATACGAAGTTTTGAATTATTTTGCTGCCCTGCCTTATAGCATTACATTTTATCAGAAAGCCTTCAATATACACAGCTAAACTAATGGATATGTTTGATCATAAACGGTAAAATACATTTATAAGGCTAACAACTCTTAACCAACCCTTAACCAGTCATCATAGCAATCAGAAAAGTGAACATACGCCAAGTGTCAAACCTTACTTACATTTATTTTTATATTGTTTTTCAAATGATATAAATGAATTATTATGTTTCCTCTGCTACAAAAAACATATGTACAGACTTCCTCCATATCTTTAGGCTAGGTGAAATTAGCTAACATAGTCATGTAAAACCATAAAATCAAATGATCTCTAATAATACAATGTCTGTTTATTTTCGGTTACCTTGGTATGTGGCTTTTCAAGGGCTGTGCACGGTACTGTGGGAATCCATATGCCTGAAACTCTTTATTAGAAGCAATTCCAGGCCATGTCTCCTCTGTGGGTGTTCCTAATAACAAATAGATTTATATATTACTTATGGAATAAGTTGGCTAAAAGACATTTGTTTTATTTTAAGGTAGGGTATTATATAACCTGCCTTGTGCATATAGACCAGTCTTCAAATGCATGGATATTATACAAATCTACATCCGAGGAGCAGGATATTGTACAATGAATGTTTTAATCTGCAGTTAGCCATAGGCTGGTAATAGAAATCAGGAAGCAGAATTCCCACCCAAAAATGTAATGGCATTCAATACTTTTATCTGTTTGCAATAGTGTACATGAGCATTTACAATAACAAAAGAAACCAGCTAAAAGCACCATGCATACAAGTTAGTACCCTATGGCTCCCAGGTTGCAAGCATGTTAACCACCCACCATACTGATACTAGACTATGGGCCCTTCAGAACTGAGCTGTGCTGACAGTCTGTGCCATTTATTGTTTATTTTTTTAATAGCAAATATGGAATTTCATTTTAGCTACCTAATTGAGTTTCCAGTGAGTTTGTCAGTAGCTGGGCTTCCTCTAGTATGGGGTAGGCAACCTTGGCTTGCCAGCTGTGCTGAAACTACAAATCCCATCATGCTTCTGCCTCTGGGAGTCATTCTGGGCTGATCCCTCACTTTTCTCAAATAATCGCTCCAACAGTTGTTTACTTCTCATCAAGCTTCTTGCTGATAGTCTTGTAGTCCATTCCAGCCTTGTGCAGGTCTACAATCTTGTCCCTAACATCCTTTGACAGCTCTTTGGTCTTGCCCTTGGTGGTGAGGTTTGAATGGAAGAAAGATTCTGTGGACAGGTGTCTTTTATATACTTAACGAGTTGTCGTTAGGAGCACCTTCTTAAAATTGACAGGACTAAATCTGTGTACAGGTGGCCATACACTTTACAACCCTCGCAAGACTTTTGTCTTGCGAGGGTTGTAAAGTAATTAAAAAAACGGGCAGTGTGCAAAACAGAGGACTTAAATATAGTGCAAGATAGCCCTTTGCAATTTTTTTAAGTATGTTTTGTGAACAATAAAATTAAACTGTTTAAGTTTAAATGTCAGAACGTGAAGCATAAATTTACAGGTTGCCGTGTGGTGAAATATTAGACATGTGCTATATATTGCAAAAAAATGTTTTACCTGTTACAGAAGCATTTATAAATAAATAAAATGCGTATAAGATAATACTGCATTCATCCATACAGTTTTAAACAGTTATAGTTATGCAATAAAACAGTATTTTGTTTATGCATGATGTGCATAAAGATTTTCATTTTCTTTAATATTATTATTTAAATCTTTTTTTTTTAACAAATCATGGTTGCAATTCAAATTCCTGTATTAAAAATTCAGAGTAAAAAGACTGCCACCCTGTGGAAATAAGGATTTCTAATGCATCATCCTCGGTTGAAATTGTACACAATGTTAATAAAGTATACAAGCAATGGCAAGTGAGTGTGTATATATATAGAGATATATATATATATCTATCTATATATATAGGTATATATATATATATAGATAGATATATATAAATATATAATACAAATTAACTAAATACTGCAGACTCACCAAGCATTCTAAATATTAAGTGCAGTTCCTCTTTTACTGTAGACCCAGGAAACATTGGCCGTCCAGTGGACATTTCAAACAAAATACAGCCAACTCCCCTATTAAAAAAAAAAGGTCAGATTGTGTAAAACAGTTCTGTTATTTACCACACAATTTTCTTTAATATAAAAAATTCAATTTGAAACTTTGGACATTAATGAAAGAAAAGACAAAAAGGAACAAAGAATACTTTACATAACAGTCAGTTATGCCACATTCAGAGTATTTTGGATTATACAATTATATTTTCACAAATAAGTGGTTTATTATAGACAAAGACAGTTGTCATGCTGCATTGATTTTAAAGCTACTCTTTCTGTTGCCTTACAGTAATTACATGGAGTGATTTTTAAAAAAGGTAACATTATGGGTTCGCACATCAACCAAAGTAATAAGTAAGGTTGAGGTATCTTGTGTGTTAATCTGAGTTTTCTAGCTCTGTATTAGAAAACCATATGTCCCACAACAGATCAAATAAATGAAATGAACATTTTGGAAGAATGAGGTGTACTTTTACATGTTAAGAAATAAAAAAGTAATACTTTATACTAGGTGTACACAGTTTTGTGCTAGAACAAAAACAGATTGCTCACTTTTACTCACCACATATCAATAGGTGTGCTATATTCTGTTGATCCCAGCAAAACATCTGGTGGTCGGTACCATAATGTCACCACTTCATTGGAATAGGTTTTGGTGGGTACAGACTTTGCTCTGGCAAGGCCTACATATTAGCACAACAAGAAAAAAATTGTAGTACCATATTACTTAGCAACAACTGATACTAGTTTAAAAGCATGAGTGCACTTATAATTTAGGCATCATAGCTCTCTCCCAATGCACAGATGAATACTTACCAAATGTTGATGGGTCTGATCTCTGTTGTTTAATGACATCCTGAGGCAGGCGTCTTCTTTCTGCCCCACCTGCGCAGTACATCCCCCAGTGACTTCTATGGGGCTTGTCTGCTAGCCGGGAGAGATAGTTAGATGAGCCCTTTATAAGTGAATAAGGATGTACTGCGCAGGCACGGCACGGACGGGAGAGGAAGACATCTGCCATAGAATGTCAACAAACAGCAGAGGCCAGGCACTTCAGAACTTGGTAAGTAGTTATCTGTGCAGGGGAAAGCAGGAAGCTGTGATGTTGCCTTAAAGGACATTTTAAGTGATTTGAGTTTTTTGTGGTAATGGAGAGGTGCAGGGGGGATGTATGTGTATGCATTGTCAGGGGTCACAGGGCTGTTTTTCATACTTTATTTAACCCCTTCGTGACTGACGACGTACAGTGTACGTCGCCAGCATCGTGGCTGTTTACGTCTGTCAGAGGGTCAGGTTTCTTATCAGTAAACTGTAATCAGCTGATTCTTCTCTGCTCTGCTCCCCCCTCCTCATGAACGAGCACACACTGAGCTCTGAGGAGAGAGCAGAGATGAGTCATCAGCACATCTCCTCAGAGCTCAGTGTGTGCTCTGTGTTTGTGTTATGAAGAATCTCCTGCACTTGTCCTGTTCTGTAGACCTTCTCTGTCTTGTGTGTCTCTCTCAGATCTCTCCCTCTCCAGGGTCAGATTTACTCTCTGCTCCGCCAAGTCCAGGTTCCTCAATGTGCCCCCCGCCCTCGTCATTTACAGATTAATGTTAAAACAGATAAATTAAAAAGACATTGGGGGTAATTGATCAAAACTGGAGCAAACAGAATCTGGAGCCATTGCCCATGGCAACCAATCAGCTTCTCTCTTCAGTTTGCTCAGGTAAGATTTGAAAATGAGAGAGAGATGCTGATTGGCTGCAGTGAAAATCTGCTCCAGTTTCGATAGATCCCCCCACTTTGCGGTGTCACCGGGGATGTGCAGAGTCAGCAGAGATTGTTTGGTGTCATTGAGGATGTGCAGGGTCACCAGAGATTGTTTGGTGTCATCGGGGATGTGCAGGGTCACCGGAGATTGAATGGTGTCACCGGGGATGTGCAGGGTCACCAGAGATTGTATGGTGTCACCGGGGATGTGCAGGGTCACCAGAGATTGTTTGGGGTCATCGGGGATGTGCAGGGTCACTGAAGAAGTTCGGTGTCACCAGAAATGTGCGGGGTCACGGGGATGTGTGGTGTCACCAGTGATTGTTTGGTGTCAACGAGGATGTGCGGGGTCACCGGGGATGTGCGGGGTAACCAGGGATGTGCGGGATCACCGGAGATTGTTTGATGTCACTGGAGATGTTGCTAAAGAAATCCGTTATATTTTGTTCTGAGCGATTACTGGAGACAGAATATAACGCATTTCTTTAGCAATCACAACAATACTCCAACTGTAGTCACAGGTTAAAAAAAAAAAATCTCTTGGTCACTCTGCACTGCCCACGGGGAGGGACCACTATGAATATTAATGCTGCACGTGCACGAGAGAAGCAAAGCATTGTGGGAAAAGGAGTTTTTCCACCCACTGCACTGTAGTTTCCTCTGTGCAAAGCAGCCTGGCAGCCATTTACAAAAACATGTGGATATTGAGAGGACAACTAAAAAAAAAAAGTAAGTTTTTGTGTTTCTATCCAGGATCTGCATATGCCGGCATCATCTACTCACCGTGTACATTGCTGACATATGTTTCTTTAAAAATGTCCCCACAAAGGTGGAAATGTCCTTTAAAAGGGACCTAAAGGAGAAGTGCACTTTGTTTACAAGTGCAGTTATCCTTTAAAGATACAGTACAGTCAAATATGATAATTTAATATTTTGAACTAACTCAGATTTTCATCTCAGAATTTATCCTGTAGATATGACTGATTCACACATGATTTTGTCAAAGCATTGATAGGCTTAAACTTGAAACACTTATGCTGAACTCTGTATGTACATAGCAAAGGAAACATTAAGATACTCATAGCATTGCAACAGAATATACACACCAAAGTCTGCGAGCTTTAACTCTCCCTTTTCATTGATTAATAGATTCTGCGGCTTGAGATCCCTGTGCAGGACTTTTCTGTGGTGGCAGTAATATAAACCCCGAAGTAGCTGAAACATAAATATCTGTAAAGATAGAAAAATTGTTACAGGTGACCGAAAACATTCTTACCTATACAAACCTCTACAGATTCAAAGTTCAGTCCTCTAAATATATTTTAGTTTTTGACAGATTCTAGAGAGGTGAATCACCAAACCAGCTTAGAACCTCCAGTGGCAATTCTCTTGCTGATACTTGAGCAGCGAGATTCAAAAGTGGAGGACATAAAGCTTGTAGCTAGAGCCGGAAGATCTTGCAACCAAAACTGAAAACATAATAGAAATCAGTGAGTGATAATAATTAAGAACCCTTGAATGTGAAATGCGCCAAAGCGCTGGCTGACATTTGTTGTGCCTTTAATTTTTCAATAAACTGTTTGATTGCTGCAAGCAGTTTAGGGACCATTTTCTTTCAATTTGGAAAGAAGACAAATTAAGAAAGAGTGCAGACCTCTTCTCAAGTTACCAACATAAAGATAGTTAGGAAAGTTACAGGGTTTTAATGATTGCAAAATCTAGACATTGAAAATGACTCTGGTTTGGTGTGGTACAGACTGTGACTGGCCATAAAAATGAGTGATGGGCCGAACAGGCCCGAGTTCGGTTTGAATTCGAGCTTTAGAACATCCAAAAAGTTTGAATTCAAACTCAATGCAAATCAATGGGGGTAGAACTTTCAGAAACAATTGTCCCCTTTAAGAAGGCTTATATGCAAGTTATTGGCCATAAAAAGGGTATGGGGGTCCGGGTACTGCACTAGGGGACAGTAATCAATGAAGAAAAAAAATAAGTTTTTAAAGGAGCAGTGATTTTTACATCACAAAGGGTAAGAATAAAAATAAAAAATTCCTTTAAATATCGTGTCTGGGGGGTCCCCTTAAACTGCCTGTGCAGTGGCGGATCTGTACGATGTATAGAACCTGCTGCAGCAAAAAGTGACATTTAAAAAGAAAAAAATTACGTTTCAATTGCCGGTAATCGGTTTTCCTGTAATCTTTTAAACAACTGCTTGGGGAGGCAGCCTGTATGAAGAGGCCACATTTTAGGACACTCGGAACAAGGTTAGAGATTTTTTGGATACATTCTGGTGCCTCTTTTGCAGACGTTGGAAGAAAGTAACAGGTGCTTTAAAATGGCCACACCCTTTAGTGGCCACACCCCTGTAACCACACCCATTTCCCCCAATATCCGCACCATTTAAAGACTCCTATTTTGTTAAGCCTTGTACCTACAAGTTTAATACTATTAAAAAATATGATAAAAATAAAACTTTTATTTAAAGGTATTAAACTTGTAGGCACAATATAAGTATTCTTATCAAATAAAACAGAAGGTAAACAATAAATGTCAAACTACAAACTAGTCTATAAAAATAAAGTGTCAGGATGTCATGCCGACCCCTTTTTTCACGTAAGTGCATCTAGAAAAGTAAAAATAGAAAACAGAACACAAAACTACATGTGAATGAATTACTATATTTCCGAATATACGAAAAATGTATTCAGGCACATAATAATTTGTTTGAGAATGTGCGGCGGCCATGTTGGCCACAGGCGTGTTCTGTGAATGCGTGCCACCATCTTGGAGGCAGGGAGCATGACGTTACATGACGACCTGAGGGGGGGCAGACAAGGGAGCACTGTCATATCGGATGGCCAGCGGTGAGGGGGAGAGAAGCCGCACTGTGCGGCCGCACAGCTCGCACACCCCTAAGGCTGGCCCTGGCTATGAGGTCTCTCCACAGCATTGTTTTCTGCACAGTTTTGTAGTGGTCTCCTGCTTGTCTCCTGTGCTATTGTGCACCTCCCTCCTTTCTCCTGTGCATTCCCCTCTGCTGTTCCTGTGTAGCTCGTGTCTCTGTGGGTACACCTGTTGTGTGTTCCCTTTTGTTACCTGCGTCTTCCCTCTAGTGCCTGTTTTCTGTACCTTGTATGCATCCTGTGTCTTGTCCAGTGTGCTGTGGTCCCTGAGTACCCGCTGGCACTGTGCCTGCATGTGTGTGTCAGAGAGCCGCAACCTGGGAGCTGCACCGCAGCTCAACATCCACACCATCAGTGGCTCTGGTGAAGACCAGACGGCTCCTTAGATCCTGCGACTCTGGCACACCAACGTTTCTTGTGCGGTCACACTGTCCCTGAGTTTACAATTCTTGGTGCTCCAGTGCGCAAATCTTGACACACCGTAACCCTTCAGAGTTATTCTTGACGAGTGCAGGATTGGACGCTGCTGTAAAATATTTAAATGATATGCAACTGTCACATGCGGTTGCAGAAAAATTGGGCCTTGGCCGTTGGTGGTGCACTACACCAGTGGCGTAACAACCGGGGGTGCGGCTGCCCCGGGCGAAGAGATGGAGGATGGAGCATGGCCACCGTCCGGGATTCACCCGGATCAGTGGCGTAGCGAAGGGGGCGCAGGGATGTGTACTATGGGGCAGTGCAGGATCCCGGTGTTAGAACACCGGGGCCCGCACTGCCGACTCAGTAAGGGGGCGGGTCCTCCTCTCCCGGCCGCGTCCCTAGTAACGGGTGGCGGGAGAGGAGACGTGTGTCACACGCCCCGCCCCCTGCAGTGCACACAGAGTCTGGCTGAGATGAGGCTCTGGCTGGGTAAGTCAGAGCCGCGGAGGGGGGGAGGGGTTTGTTAGGTTGGGTTTGGTCAAGGGTTATGTGCTTTTGTTTCATTTAATTAGGAAAGGGGATTATAATGGGAAACATTACACTGTAATGTTGCCTATTATAATCTATTTCTCTGATTAAATGATTACATACAAGGCTTCTGTTCTATCAAAGTTTGTGACTACGTTAGAATGTGTGACCGGTCGCGTGGTCATACATTTTAACGTAATCCCGCCCAATTTTTGGAGGTGTAATGTGTGACTGCCATTAGGTCAAGCATTCCAACGCATTCTCAGCTGTTCTAGGGCAGATCAGCATCGCAAATCATATGTTCAGAAGTCCTGACCTGCCCTGATACAGCTGATCGGTCCTGAAATGTCCCTTCTATCCGACTTTGACTGTGATCTCACATTCCACCGCACTCACAAAGTCGGATAGCAGTGACATTTCAGGACCGATCAGCTGTTCTAGGGCAGATCAGGTCTTCTGAACATACAATTTGCGATGCTTATCTGCCCTGGAACAGCTGAGAAAGCATTGGAATGCTTGACCTAATGGCGGTCACACTTTCCACCGCCAAAAAAATGGGCGGGATTATGTTAAAATGGGTGACCACGTCACCAGTCACACATTCTTTGATAGAACACCACCATCACAGGGATCCCAACCTAAAAAAAGAAATTTCAGGGAGGTGCCCTTTTAATTTCAGGGAGGAGTCCTCTGCCCCCCCCCAATCTGCAGGGGGGGGGGAGAGAGCAGACCCCTGAAATTATGACAGAAAGCACAGGAAGCAATAACTTCTTTGCTATCTACAGGTTGTTTTTTTTAGTATTCTGCTGCTGTCAATCACTAGAAGAGGACCTGATGGAGAACTTCAGGTCCCCCTCTGCTGATTGACAGCAGCAGAGGGCGGGTGCAATAGCTAGTTTGCTATTGGTTATTTGCAAAGTAAAATAGCCAATAGGAATCTAGCTATGCATTCCTATGTTGTTGTTTTTCTGACTGAAGGCGGCTGATGACAGAAAAAAAAAAACCCAGAGCAGGAAAATGTTTACTCTGCTTGATCAAGCAGAGTAAACCTTTCCGGGAGAAAATGTTTCTCTCCCGGGTGGCCGGGAGCCACTATCTAATAGCGGGAGAGAGTTGGGATGTCTGCCATCAGGGGGGTACGGCCGGTAACCATGTGAGGGGTCTGGGCAGCCTGAGGGGCCCCTTACATGGGTATCAGCTGTAACAGGGGCGGCATGGCAGAGATGACGGGAGGGGGTGGAAGAGGCCGGGCCCCAGCAGCAGCAGGAAAGAAGAGTTGGGAGGAGGTACAGGGAAAGGGACCCTGACGACCAGCCCACCTGGGGCCCTGCAGAGCCCACCCACCATAGAGTCTCAGGTGGGCTATGCAGGGTCTCAGGTAAGTCCAGAGTCCAGCACGCTGCTGCAACATTAGAGACCGTTGAGGAGGGGGTCGGGGGCTATATAATGGTGATATAATGGTTGGGGGCCTCTCCATTTAACCTTAGTGGTTAGACAGGTTTTTTTGCATGCTGGCTGGTCAGTGTGCCTGTGCCTTTTTGCTGTTATAATGGTTGGGGGGTGCAAAATTTTGTTCTGTCCCGGGCGCCCGCAACTCTGGTTATGCCACTGCACTACACCGACAACATTACTTGAAGATGGAATAATCGCCCACAAAGTTAGGCAGTCTTCCAGAGAAATGTATTCGGTGACATCTGCATCAGGGGATTGATAGCTGCTGCTGATCCAGGACTGATTCATTCTGATAAATGTCAGCTGGTCAACAGAGTCTGTGGGCAGAAGCACTCTTATCGGTCACAAACCTGCAGCACTGAACGTCCTTTAGGAAGGCACACTGGATGCAGGGCAGCACATTAGCTCCATGGCATATTGGCTAAGCTCTGGCCAGTGATCCATTCTCAAGACCCAGTAAGCCAGTGAATCGTCTGCTGGAAAGCTCTCCAGGTCTGCTCTTGCCCCTAGGTAATCCTGCACCATGTAATGCAGACACTGCCGATGAGTGCCTAAAGTTAACATCCCTGGGCGCTGAGGACTGAAAAAATTTCTAAAAGGCATCAGTCAGGTAGCCTCACTTCTCCAGCGCTCTTCCTTTGACCAACCGAAGCCTCAGAAGCACCTCTTTCATGACTTGGTATCCTTGGTATCTGGAAAGGTGTTACACAAGTTTATCTTCAAAGTGTCCTCAAGTTGTTTCATCCTGTGCTCCCTCTGTGAGGGCAGGATGAGCTCTGCAACTTTACGCTTGTAACGTGGATCAAGAAGGGTTGCCAACCAGTAATGATCTCTCTCCTTGATACCACGAATCCTGGGGTCGTTTCTCAGGCTTTGCAGAATAAGGCAGCCCATGCACCGTAAGTTGGAGGAGGCATGAGATTCCGA